AGGTGGTATAGCAACATTTTGAATGAATGGCTATAAAGAAATGAGCCAGACATCATTAAAGTCACAAACTTTAATAAAGGCAATAACACTGAAAACTTTAAAATAGCATGACATACAACAGAAGCAGTAAACATACAGTGCCAGGTTTTGGAGGGTTTTTTAAAAAAAGAATATTGAAATAAGGAAGTTTTCAGTTCCCATTCAAAAACTGGTAGAATAAAGGGGACAGATCGGTCTTCCAAGGAGGGAATCCAGGTAGAGAGCCATCAATTTAAAATGCCTCTTACTTGTCCCTATTAACATAATGAGCTTTAACTATGGGCCCATGAACCAGACCTCTGAGCTGATCTCCAAGCCCTGGAACAACTTTGTATAGGGTAAGACAACATTTTGGGTAAGCTGGTCCCAAATCATTTAGAGTTTCAAAACTTAGTCCAGGAGCTTTAATCTGTTCCTGGAAACAAATATGTAACCTATGGAGTTCTTGTTATGGTGACGCTAACAGGTTTTGGGGTGTGCAAGGTGTTCAAGAAGTGGATTTCCATTGCTGCCATCACCATCCCATGAGTATCCAGGGCCAAGTGGGGATTTGAACCCCAATCAACTGAGTCCTAGTCTTATATTCTTGTGCATTTGGTATAGTATAAATGTTAATTGCCCCCATTGTCTGAGTCTTACAAGCATCTAAACAGATGGACAAGTTAATATGTGTGAGATTTGTTATTGATATAAAAAAGGAGGTACTGTAGGCTTATTGGTCCATGAGAACAAAACGAAAAAGAGAATTTAAAGATGAGCAAAACTTTCATAAGGATCAAATAACATTCTACAGAATTACATAGGTTTATGAATCCTCCAGAGCTCTTCAACAGACTAATGACTCAAAAAGTAGAAAAGAAAAAGTGTCAGGGAGAATCATCAGTGGTTCCCAACCTTGGGTCTCCAGATGTTCTTGGACTACAGTTCCCAGAAATCCTGGCCAACACAGCTAGCAGTGAAGGCTTCTGGGAATTTTAATCCAAGCAAGCATCCAAACAGATGGACAAGTTAATATGTGAGAGATTTGTTACTGATATAAAAAAAGGAGGTAGGCTTATTGGTCCATGAGAACAAAACAAAAAAGAGAATTCAAAGATGAGCAAAACTTTCATAAGGAGATCAGTGTTAGGCGTTAGATGCAATGGAAGTTGGTTACATTTGGGGACCGAAGGTTGGGAACCACTGATGGAGATCCTTGTGGCCAGGATGTCTGCCTTTACACTCAACCCCAAAATGGAGATCAATGTTAGGCGTTAGATGCAATGGAAGTTGGTATAGAAAAAATATGTTGTTGTGTTGTTGTTGTTGTTGCTGCTGCTGCTGCTGTTGTTTTTGTTGTCAAAATCCTATCCATCAGTGTAGTGCAGTGCAAGGAAATAAGGAAGAAACATGTGTGAACAGCAAAGTTGTCAATTTCCTCGGGCTGTGTGTCTCCATGGGTGTTACTGCTTTATTTCTGTCTTTTCCATTCCATCCAATGCTTTTATCTGAATCTGCTCCTGTTCCTTCTTCACCTTAGTCTGGGCTGTGTGTCTCCGTGGGTGTTACTGCTTTCTTTCTGTCTTTTCCATTCCATCCAATGCTTCATGGGTCATTTTCCACTGATTTTGACCCAGCGCAAGTTGTGCAGGGAGTTGGCATCTAATAACCAGGGGAATGAGGATGGGGTGAGAGGAAGCAATTGGTTCTGAGCCAGCAGAAGGTGGTGTGACCTATATCTCCCAAAGCCTGCTTCACTAGAGCCAGCCCTAGACATTTGGCCACCTGAGGTGGGAAGAGCAAGTGGCACCTACCCAAGTCAACAAGCATAGTACCCAAAACCAGCCAAGTTATTTTGGAACAGGAAGCAGAAAAACTCACAAGCACTCCTCCCTATCCTTGGCTGTCAAAATCCAATAAAAAGTAATTAAATCATTAGCAATGTGGTCCCCCTTCACGACATCCCCCATCTGGTGTCTGAGGCAGCCACTCCCCTTTGCCCAATGGTCAGGTCGGCCCTGCTTTTCAGGAAAGCTCCATAGCTTTCCCCCCACAAAACATGAAATATCTATTGTCTTATGAAATCTGTAAACTTGGGGTATGAAACTTGCCCTAATGTCAAGCTAGGGTGGCAAGATACTCAACAGCATAAGTTGCTTATTACCAGGGCAGAGGGGATGCGCACACACAAGCTGTCACAGTCAAAAAGAGAGTGTTTTAAATATCTTTCCAATGATCAAATACTCCCTAGTCTCCCACCTGTCTAGTCAAGCTAAGGTCTCATCCAGCGCACATCTTTAGGCTTCCCTGCTGGCATGGAAGATCCGTTTCTTTGTAATGCAACTTAGTTATACCTTAGCTATGACAAAGGAAATTAAATAAATTGGTGATGTGTAATGAGTTACTTCCAAGCACTGGTATTACCTTATTGTACCCCTTATGCCCCATGTTCCTCTAAGAAGCTCAACATTCCACACTTTTTCCCCCTTCACAGTGACGGTGAACCTAAAGAATATAGTGGCCAAAGGAGTGAGCCCTTGAACCTTGGCCTCCCCAGTTCTAGGCAAACAGTCTAACAAAAGGGTGGGCAAAGGGTGGCCTGGGGCTGCATGGATCCCCCTTTCATCCCCATCAGGTGTTACTGTCCTGCCTGTTAAAAATTATTTCCCACCCCCAAACAAAGATGATGTGCCTAAATCTGAGATCTCTAGTAGCAGCCGGTTACCTGTCGAACTGGTCAAAGGACCTCACTGTATTTTCTAATACTGTACTAAAACAAACAAACAAACAAATCCCATATTTTTCAAAACCACAGATGGATTCTCACCTGCTTTTTCCAATAATTTCTCCTTCCTTCCTTCCTTCCTTCCTTCCTTCCTTCCTTCCTTCTTGGGAGGGCTCCATCCATCCCAAAGAGAGGATCCAAAATATGAAAATTGACCAGGATCCACTGTACTATGCATGCTGCCAATGTTGTTGTTAATAATATAGATTACCATGGTTCTTGTCTAATCTGGCCTATGACACACACACACTCTTATGCAATCTAAAGTCGTTCAGATTTGTGGTTTTGGAGCAGAACCTCTAAGAGTTTAAAAAAAAACACCCACAAATCTACCCTTTTCCTCGACCTTTGGTCCCATTCACAATGTACAGACATTATTTGGTAAGCATTCCAGGCTCACTGAGCATGCTTCACAGTGGTGGTTCATACTTGGCTGTTTTTGGTGTTCCTTCAAGCTGGCTGGATAGGTCAGTGTTTTAGGTAACTGGCTGTGGAGCCAGAGGTGGGGAGTTCAATTCTCCCACTGTGCCTCTTGGGAGAAGAGCCAGCCTGGGTAGTCTTGGGCAAACTGCACAGTGGTCTCAGGGCACCCACAGAAGAAGGGGATGGGAAACCAATTCTGAGTACTCTCTACCTAGAAACCCCTGGAAAGGCTTGTTGTAAGTCAGAATGGACTTGAGGGCACCTGATTATTTTATCCAAGTTTTAAATATATACAGTATATATATATTTGCAAACCTCATGGTTTTCCTCTGCCTACTGCCACCTTCCTTTTGAGTACGGGTCATAGTTTGGCAACAGAGGCAGGTCTTGGGATAACTGAGCTTGTCATAAATAAATCTATAGGATTTTCTTTGTATTCTCCCCCCAATCAAAAAAAAAAAGGCTGAATATAAATGCTCTGGCATTTCCGCAACCAGATGCAGGCTTACATCTTCAGCAGAAGACAGCCAGCCAATCAGGGGATGATGTCTGAATATGAATGGGCAAAGGTGGATCCAACACCATAGAGATCTCATATCAAATACACTCTTGTCTCCTTTTAACATCCCACATGCCAGTCGTCAAGAGTGGTGAAGAAATCTGGCACGGGTGAAACCAGTCCCTATGAATTACTGTATTTCAGTCCTTCAAAGCTGAGCTCCTTACGACCTCCAAAGGCCTGATTCTCCTGAGCTTGTCTCAACCATGTGGGCTCTTGTCCTTGGTGTTGCCTGGGAGGAAGCTCTGTCCCATATTTAGGAGCAGCTTCTGTTTCAGGAGGTCAGCACTCTGTGCATGGTCAGGGAAGGACTTCCACCATACTTAAGTTTGAGTCCCGCCAACTAAACTGCCAACTAAACTAGGTTTGTGGTGAAGTGGCATTGGGATGGAAGAGACTCTTATCGCATGCTGGCAGGAGGATTCTGAGAAGGTAATGTTTCTTAGCTCTGTGTCAAGATCAGAGCAGAAGTCCTTTGTTTCAGAGGTTGGCTCTCCCTTGCAATAAACCTGCCAGCTCTTTAAGGGGCCACAAGATTTGTGGTTATGGATGAGAGCAATCCGGAGCCTGCCTGCCCGGGTCTGCAGCTTCAGGGTAGAAACCTATACCCACTAGGCAGAAAACATGGCCTCTTGGACTAGTTTCTCAAGCTGAGCTTCGGTGTCGGTGTGTCCCTTTAAAGCCTTGATCAGTTTGGGTCTGAAATAGATGAACAGGCATCCATTCCGACTGCTTTTGTCCATTTGTGTTTGTTTTCATATTGACAGCTTGTTTTGGGGCACGTACGGTTTTAACTGTATCTCCACATCATCCTGAGTATCCAAAAGGACAACAGGAGGGTTGGGATGCTTTATTATTTTATTTTACTTTATTTCAATGTATATGCCACCCCATAAGGCAACACACTCTCTGCTTTGAGTAACTGATACAAATAAATGTGACTTATTTCCAAGACAGCTGTCTGTCTTGAGTACCAACCAGCTGCCCTCCAGATTTATTGGAGCACAACTCCCATCGTGCTTGTCTGAGGATGATGGGAGTCGTGGTTTCAGCATCTCTGGAGAACACCAAATTAGAGAATCATGACGGCCTCTTGTTTATTTCCCGTGCAGTGTGTTGCACAGTCCTAGTTCTGCTCTCTTTCTAACCTCTCCCCCCCCCTTCCCTTTCACCTCTGGCCTGACTGGACTCTTCTTGCTCTCCCTCTTCCTCCAGGTGTTTCGGTACCAAGTGCGCCGGCTGCGCCCAAGGCATCTCTCCCAGCGACCTGGTCAGGAGAGCCAGAAGCAAAGTCTTTCACTTGAACTGTTTCACCTGCATGATGTGCAACAAACAGCTCTCCACCGGGGAGGAACTTTATATTATTGACGAGAACAAGTTCGTCTGCAAAGAGGATTACCTGAGCAACAGCAACGCTGCCAAAGAGAACAGTTTGCACTCAGGTGAGGCGCTTCGCCCGTCAGCTGCCCAGTGGAATAATAAGAACCACCATCAGAGAAGGGAACTCTCTGTTAGCTCTAGCTGGAGTTTCTTTTTTTCTTTCTTTTTTTTTTTCCCTCAGGGGGTTGAATTCCTTTTGCAAATAATCACAGAGTTACAATGTCTGGTGATCTCCAAATATCTTATACCAACCAACAGGGAGATGTAAGAGTTTGTAAAGCAGTTTCCCCAAAACTTTCTGCCAGTTTAGAACAGCAATAGTTGGAAATTATAATCTGGATCGATGATTCAGTGCCTGAATAATTTGTAGTCAATTGAGTATGATTTCCCACTCCTCGTGGTTTAACCAGAGTACCAAACTGAGTTTTCCACATCCCCTAAAGTATGCTGCTGAAATGATGGATGTTTGGAATAATTCGTGGTGCTTTGAGAGAGAAGGGAGGTAAATAAGGTTGCTGTTAAGTTCTGGTATTCTGAATAAATTCAGGAGCTCAGATTTTTCTCGTAGTATCCATTTTCACGAGATGCTGGATTGTAGATCTGAACAGTTGGCTTGTTTGTTTGTAAATATTTTGTTATTCCACTTGATCTGTAGTGTGCAAGCTCTGTTGCCGACCATCCCATTTGCTTACAGCAGGCTGCTCAAAAAGTCACCCTTTTGGAAGGATGCAGGGCCTTGGCTAACATCAGGTTTGGGAAAGAGGTGGAAGCTGAGCTTTGTGCAATGGTTCCCAAGCACCAAATCCCAGAGGTTGTTGGACCTAAAACTCCCAAACACGGTAGTTTTGGGCGTCAGGCAAATTCAAGGATTAAAATATGATCCTTAACACTAAAACAAAAACACAAAACAAAGATTTGAAAAATAAGTCCCGTCCAAGCTTACTTTCAAAGGAGGCTATAGCTTGGGATTCCAGACTGTACGGTATATCTCTGTCTTATTATTCCCCAGACAAATGTACTCTGTAACTAAAGTACAATCTTATGCTCACCTACTTAGAAAATAAGCGCAGTTGACTTTATGCACAAGATCAACCTGAAAATCAGCCTTCCCATTCCTCTCTCCTCGTTTTTTTTTTTTTTCATTCTTTGCTACAATAATGATGGAGATAATGATATTGGACCTCAACTTGGTTATGATTAGAGAAGATCCTTTCAAATCTAGGAGACAAATGAGTCATGGTCGTTAACTGGGGTCCTACGCATGTTGCTGTGTCTCTCCTAAGTAGGATTAAGTCTGGAGAGTTAACTTTTTTTTTTAATAACGACTCCCAGAAAGTCTCAGGATAGCCATAGGATCCTGCAAAGTTAATTCCAAAACAAGAGGGAAATTTTGGAAGTCTGTTCTGCTCTAACCCGATAGATGGGTGTCTGCTTGAGGGCAAAGGGTCACACCCTCTGAATCCTTTTTAAATTGTGTATTTTCGTGTACAGAAACAAATGTGTTGTCGTGCGTAGATCAGGCTCCCCCCAAAAAAGCCTTACTTTTCTTTTATTCCAGTTCCTTCAAGTAGTCTTCCCCGCCCCCTGCTTTCCTCATCGTTCAAATCATCCTAGCTAAGGAAACCAGAAGATGACTATTTTGTTATTTGGGAAGACAGGGGCTAAGAGATGGTTCTGTTCCCTTGGGACTGGGGATCAAAGTATCAACAGCAGCCGAACAAAAGTTACAGAATCAGCAGGCAAATATTTGAGGGTGATAGGCCTGCGGCTGCTTACAACCCGAGATTAAGGGTGGCTGTCCATTCCTTTTGATTTGCTGTTGGGGGGAGGTTGTGTTAAAGGCCGTGGCGGGTGTGTATGCACAGTTGGGGGAACCACACTTTGTTGCCAAGAGTGGGGAGGAGCACCCGAGAGGTGTGTATGGTTCCTTTCCGTTTCAGCTTCTGTGGAACTGGAAGAAAATTGGATTTCCATTTTTCAGTGCCGGAGAAGATCAGAGGGGCATGCCTTGAGAGACACAGACAGACTCCTACTTTATGGCAGACTTTGTGTTGGTGTGGGGAAGGGAGGGGGTGTGGGGGTGAAAGAAATCACAGCCCCTGGTAATGTTTGGCCAGGCAGACTTGGCATGGGGCTGTCTGTGTCAGCTTCACACCCGGGTGTCACAGCACCCATGTCAAGCGTGGAGGCTTATTGGGTGGTGGGATGTGGGGGGAGGGTGGCCGGCAGCAATTTTCACTCCGCCAGGAGAAAGTCGTTAGCGCAATTTCCCCCCTTTTAAGCAAAAAAGGAAGGAAGGAAAGCGGTTGTTGCAGCAGGAACAACAAATACTTTTCTTGGGGGGTTAAAGACTTTTTAAAAAGTAACACTTGATGTCAGTTCTCACAGAGTGCAGTCTTACTTCCTCAGAGGCCGTGACCTAGGGGTAAACTCCTACCCGCTCAGCACTGGTGACATAGGATTGTGTTGCCGATAGCTTGAGGATCTTTTAAATAGTATTAGACCAGTTCATGGCAGATCGTACTCCTAATGGCTACTAGGCATGATGGCTTCCTCCAGGACCAGAAGCAGCATGGCTTTAGATACTAGCTGGTGGGGAACTCAAGAAAGATAGCTCTCTTGCAGTGGTTCCCAACCATGGGTCCCCCGGATGCTCTTAGACTACAACTCCCAGAAATCCTGGCCAGCGTAGCTCATGGTGAAGGCTTCCGAGAGCTGCAATCCGAGGATATACCAGGCTGAGAACCACTGCTCTCTTTCATTCCTGCCCTGCCTCTGGGCTCACCGTTGAGAGATAATAGAACTGATTGTAGAAATGGATCGCTGGGCCAAAAGGCCTTCAGTCTAATTTAGCAAGGCTCTGCTTATGTTCTTACCATAATACCGCAACCCTCAGTAACTCCGCAACTCAGGAGTAAACCCTTTGACTTCCTCTTGCTTAGGTTTGCATAGGATTGCAGGCTAAATCTTGCTCATTACAATCAACATGATTTGCATCCAATGCCACACCTTGGTGTTTGCTGAGAATAAGCTCCTATTGTGTTCATTGATGTTGGATCTCACTCAATCTGGATAGGAATGCTGTTTTTGGAAGTGCTTCACTTCTTACTTCGAAAACCCAAATATCATTCCCACCTTACTTTTTGTCAGTAATAGGATATTTTGGATGTCATTAATTCGTAACCATAAGTCAGCAAGGACATCTTGGCACATAGCAACAAAGAGGATGTTGTGTTGTAGCTAGAGTGATTAAAAGGACCTAAGAGTCTGTAGTACAGAGTAGGCGCAATAGTAAATCTGTGTGGAATAATAGTTATAGTATTTATCTATCCAATAGTCCTGGAGTTACTGCCAATGTTCCCTGGTTCAGTTTTGTGTTGAAACAGGATAGAGTTCCCAGCATCAGTTTGTGTTTGAGCATTTAGCACACAAATGATTCCACAATACTGTAAGTCATCTTGAGCAAAGAGTGGGCGATTGTGCACATGGAGAACTAGAAATTTAAAGCTGAATTTACAACCCAGCTCATACTGTCTTATATGAGCCTTATAAGTAAGCCCCACTGGATTTGCAGTGGTTTCTCTGCATGTTTAGGACTGCAGCCACAGTTGACACCACTGGATCTATATCAATGCAGAGCACAATCCTAAATTCCACTGAAGCTACATGGAATAGATGTTTAGGATGTCTAAGGTTGTGTTCGGTCAAGCTGCAGAACAGTCTAATCATTATAGCAGGCATTGTCTGGAAATCAGCCGAACAGGCTCCAAAATAATTGTGCTTTTGATCGAAGGGGCAACATACAGAACTGATTCACACATGCATGCTTTATCACTTTACATCAAGCCTAAGGAATGGCCTGGGTCACAGGCCACAGACAGAGTTTTTGCATTGCTGAAGTATCCAATGTTTTTTTGGGGTGTGTGTATTATTGCTATTCATGGCGGTCACAGTGAATGACTGTGACTACTCCATTCGCACAACAATAGCAGTCAGGTTATTTTTCTGAAGGAAGAGAAGGTCTAATATTTCCTTCTTAGCACACTGCAATTAAAAAAAAACTTGATGTGGTTGTTAAGGAAGGATTTGTGAACATTATGTCAGTCTGGACCCTTCAAAAATGAGCAGAAACAAGGTGCTCTATATAAATAAATGATCTAAAGGACAATATGCCACGCAAGTAGATGAAATTGTAAGACATGTGGAAGGAAGGTGGGGAAAATCTATCCATTTCACGTTCTCCTGTATTAGAATGTTTAAATATCTCAGAATGGCATTTGCAAATGCTTCAAAAACCTAGTGGAAGCAAAAATTTTCACTCAGTAGCTGCAGTTGTTTCAAGCAGGAAGAAAATCACGTTGCATCTGTCTACCAAATGGGTGATACTGAGGAGCATCTTGGAGAGAGACAGAGAGATATAGAAAGAATTGGTGCTAATTTGGCCTTATGCTTTGATTAAGAAATCTATCAATGTTAGTTTCCCCCTTCTTTCAAATTCCTTTAAATCTCAAGCTCTTTGCATCTCAAGCATTAAGATGTATGAATATTAGTAAATTCTTATGAAACATGAAATTCTTGCCCTACCAGCTATGTAAGAGAATCAAACAGAGGTTTATAAAATCATGCATGAGGGAGGAAAGAGAAATTAAGCAGAGAAAAAAATTCTTACTTTCTCCCATAATACTACAGTTTGAAATCTAATAGAACTGATTGTCAGGACATTCAGCACAGGAAAAAGGAAGGAACTGCTTTACACAACATGTAGATAAAAATAACAGCTGGCTGGATAGCTCAGTGGTTGAGGTATCTGGTTGTAGAACCAGAGAATTTGGGTCTCCATTGGACCTCCTGCAAGTAGAGCCAGTCTAGGTGGCCTTGGGCAAGCTGCACAGTCCCAGGGCGCCCCCAGAAGAAGAGAATGGGAAGCCACTTCTCCACCTAGAAAACCCTGGAAAGGGATGCCATAAGTCAGAACTGACTGCATACAATTATTATTTATTGTAGATAAAGACATGGCTCTCACTGACACAAGACATAATTTTGGTCACTGGTTCTGATGACTTTAAAGGGAGACAAAATGAATTAATAGAGGGCAGGGTCCCTGTACAGGGTGAAGTGAGGGAGATCAAAGCAATCAAGAGGAGGCAAAATTTTTTTTACTTAGTCAGGAATGTTCCACATGCTTTTATCTCATGGGGTATTCATCAGGTTGCAAGGTTCAGAGATTGGAATGGTTATTTCCGTTGGACAACGCAGTTGGTACAACCACTGGCATGGCCTAAGACATTTTGCTGCCTGAGATGGAGCAGCAAATGGTTCCTCTGGTCACCCAAGTCAAAAGCCACAATGGCCATGGGATTCTGGATCACCCTTGCTACAATGGACCTTTCCCTTCCCTAAATTATAGACTCATCCATATTGGACCACAATGAATCTCTAGATCCTTTGAAATGTGAATGTGTTGTTCTCTATTCTAGTCACTACTGGGAGCGACCCCAGCTTGTCCCCAGATTCCCAAGACCCCTGCCAGGACGACGCCAAGGACTCAGAGAGCGCCAACGTCTCAGACAAGGAAGTGGGCAGCAACGAGAACGATGACCAAAACCTTGGTGCCAAACGAAGGGGCCCCCGAACGACCATCAAGGCCAAGCAACTGGAGACTCTCAAAGCTGCCTTCGCTGCTACCCCCAAGCCCACAAGGCATATCCGTGAGCAACTGGCACAGGAGACTGGCCTGAACATGCGAGTCATCCAGGTACTAACATCTAAAAGGCTGAGTGAGAGAACTTTAAGGAAACCAGGGTGTTGGGGAAATGGGGGGAACAGAATGTTTGGGGCTGCAACAGGGTCCAATATCTCAAAGACTTTGTGGGAGCATGTCATACAGGGCTGGAGAACCTGTGGCTCCCCAGATATCCCTGGACTCCAGTTCTCGTTTACTCTTGGACAATAGTAGGAAATTATGGGAGAAATGTTGGTTGGTTGGCTGGCTGGCTGGTTGTGCAGTGCCGTCAATGTACATGAAATGTTCTGAGCTTTCATAAGCAAACAAAACCCAACTTTCTCAATAGAATTATGGGAGAAATGTTGATTGGTTGGCTGGTTGGCTGGTTGGCTGGCTGGCTGGCTGGCTGGTTGGCTGGTTGTGCAGTGCCATCAATGTACATGAAATGTTCTGAGCTTTCATAAGCAAACAAAACCCAACTTTCTCAATCAACAAGGAACTTGTAATTTACATTTTGACCATAGGAAACTCAAATAGAAGAGGATAGGATAGACATAAATGTGAACAAATTTATTACTAGCCAATGTACCCAACTTTATCCAAGCTAGAAACTCATTAATTGCATCTTCCCAAGATCTCTCTCTCCTTTCCATACTCTCGTTTTTGGGTTGTTGTTTTTTTATCATGTTGGTCTTTTTTTTTCCTTCTCCCTTTGCCACATTACTCAGATACCCAATGTGGTATAGTGGTGTAGTGGATAAAATAATGGACTTGGACTCAGAAGACCTGGGTTTGATTCCCTAGCTCTGCTGTGGAAACCCACTGGTGAGTGGAACTGGTAAAACCTCTCCTTAAATATCTCCCCTGCCTCAAAAACCCTATTAGGGTCATTATAATTCAGTTCTCAACAACAACACACTGTACTTGTGCCACTTAACGCTCCCTCTCATGCTCAGCTTAGTCCGTGTGGGAGAGAAATATAACTTCTTTGGACTACAACTTCAAGAATCCGTCAAGTAGCATGGATTTGAGGTGTCAGTTGTTTCTTGCACAAAATCTCCTACTATGACTTCTTATGGTTTCAGTCACCCTTTGTGACAACGTGAGGCTTTCTGCACAAGCTACATCCACATGGCTTTTCTTTTTATCTGTATGATTTTGTTTCATTTCTACCCTGCCTTGGTCTCTATCCTTGGATCCAAAGCAGCGCACTGCATGATTAAAAAGCAGATATAGCCTAAAAGGCAGCAAGTTGTAACATTAAAGCCCTGTTAAACAGTGTATTAAAATTAAAACAACCACCGTATTAAACGCAATTTAAAAGCACCTTGTAAATAGTATAGCAACCGACACACACCATTGGTTAATCGCGTGGAGAGCTCCGCAGCCACTTATTTGCCAAAAGTGTCTCTGATAAAAGCACTGGACTATAACTGAGCCCCAGCATCCCAAGAGAACCCTCAGTGGGGATGATGGGGCTTGGAATTCAAGATGCCTGCAGACTGCATGGACAGGGGCAGCTGAAGGAGAGACGCAGGAGGCCCCGTGGGGCTGTACTGAGAAGTGTCCAAGGCCTAAGACAGTGGTCCCCAACCTTGGGACTCCAGATGTTCTTGGACTTCAACTCCCAAAAATCCTGGCCAGCAGAGGTGGTGGTGAAGGCTTCTGGGAATTTTAGTCCAAGAACATCTGGAGGCCCAAGGTTGGGGACCCCTGGCCTAAGAGGCAGAAAGGGAAGGAAAATGGATCCATACAAGAGGATGTCAGGAGTGAATGTTATAGACAGAAAAGTTAGCATAGACCAAAGCAAGGTTCAGACTACCGGGAAGAGCATGCTAGAACAGGGGGTGTTCTCCTTCAAAACACAAATATTGCTTTTGCTTCTTTTCCATTCCTTTTTCCTCCACAGAACATATAATTCTGGTTTTTTTTTAATTTTATACCCATTAAAAACATAATGTTTACAACCCTTAAAAATATGCCACCCAACAAAAAGGGCTCTTAAACCCAGGATGTTGCTCAATATCTTGTGCCATGCATCCGTTTAGTACCTCTTACAGGATTCTAGAGGAGAGGGGAAGGAATCTGAATATCAGGAAATCACTTTGTAGGAGACAAAGGTCCAGATCTAAGTTATTTTAGATCTGGACCTTTTCACATGCCTTACATTTCTTAGCCCTTTTCTGCTATGATGGTATCAACTTCTTTCAATAGCTAGTTAAATTTCAGCATGATTGTCTGATTTGCACCACCACCACCAGATAGGATAATGTTATTTCTTTCTGCACCCTTCTTGAAAGACTGCAATGTAGTTATTATTGGTCTCCTTGATATCTCACAGTTATATCTTCTAATTCTTATGCTATACTAATACAGATAATATTTTATGGGATTATGGCATGCAATACAAGGTGGTTATTGGGTTTGGCATTTTTGTTTTGTGATTTACAAAGTCCTAATAATGAGTTTCACCTTAGCGATGGAAGAAGCATATGTTGGGGATACATAAGACCTGTATCACTATGGGTGTACAGCTCAGTTGGTTTGAATGAAACATGAATACTGCTGTTTCATGGGGTGTAAATTGATCATATGGAAAGATGAGGTCCTAAATATGAATATAGTTACATGCATGTGAACAAGGCCATTTACATCATGTCTAGCCCTCCTCAATACACTGTTTTCTAAATGTATGGGAATACAGATCCCATAATCCCTGAGCATCTGAAGAATGTCATGTTGGGAAGGCAACTGAGTTGGATCCATGTATCATATTCTAAGTCGATCCAAGTCCTGGGGAAGATTACATATTTTGGGATTGTAAATATGGGAGGTAGCCATGCTGCCTGGAAAATTCCAGAAATTGTAGTCCACTCTGGTTCTCTCTAACATTCGAGTCTGCAATAATTGCCAAGGCTCTCTCCCAAGCTGTAGTAGGGTTAGGGCTTAAAGCCAGAGAGCCTTCTGAACATCGTGCTTCCCAGAGGCCCTTATCTTTGCAGATCTTTTGAGAGGGACCTTGGTTCAAAACAGATCAAGCATCAGGTCCCTGAGACCGCAGCCAGCAGCTGCCTGTCCCAGCCTTCTCCAGTATCTCAACCTTTAGCCAAAACTGGACTACCATGTCCATGTTCCTCAGCCCCATGTATATGGGAAGGATGGGGTACAGAAGGACCCTTGCTTGGTGGTCATGCACATTTTTTCCTGCAGAACATCCTAGGTTCAAAGCGTCTCTCTCTCATCTTGTTTCAACAGAGAAGTAGTCTTCACCATAATATTTTGATGGCATCAGGTGTAGACGCTGGAAGGTTCTTGGGGAACTATTTCCCAGTCCTGCCAAAAGGCTCATCCTGGCTCATCCCTATTAGAAAGGAGTCTTTTAAAATCCCTGCTCTTAGTTTTGATATGTGAGTCTCTCTGCTCTTTTATTCAAGAAAGGAGGTACAAATCATAACATCAGTCTTCTCATTGTCAAGAGAAGACTGACGTCATGATTTGCATCTTCCATCTTGTACCTTCCATCAATCTTCTCTCGAGAATGAGAAGACTGGTATTACAATAATAATAAATTATTACAGTACATTTAGCAGACTTATAATGATGATTATACACCCCAATTTCTTTAGAAATTATAATAAAACCAAGAAACTACTTCAGTTTAGATATCATATCTAAACTTCAAGCAGATACAAAGCAAGAATTATGAGTTCCTTCTAGTGGATGGGAAAGAAAAATAATTTCATATATTGGTGTGCTTCTATGTGCAGAGAGAGCGTATGTTATATGTTAAAGTATGCATGTGTCATTAAAAACAAACACTACTTGTGGTAATAAGACACAGTGTTTGTTAAGTTGCGTCTAACAAGGTTTACTTGGTGCATGCTTTCATGACCGCATTCCACGTCATTAATTCATTAATTGCACCCATGAATGCTCATGCCACATGAAATATGTTAGGCTTGAAGGGGTCGTAATATTATTTTTTTTTAAAAAAAATGTTTTTCCTGCAGAAAAACACAGCTGGCTGCAGTTGTCACATATGTGTGCACTGATGATGTGAAATTAGAATTCAGATTGAAGGTCCAGGTTGGACTTTAGCACAAGTTCGGTCTGAAGGCTCATGTCCCATCCCACTTCAAGAGGTTTCCCCCCCCCAAAAAAAAAAAACCTAGGGTGCTTCCCAGCTGTGTTGTAAGAATTGGGTTCCTGCTCAAGTTGACTTTTGACTCAACAAATGTTCAGACAGCCTTTCCAACTTTGTGATTCTACAAAATGGCTTCGTGTCCAGTCATTGCCTTGTTTCAATCACTGATTCAAACTGGACCTAGGGAACTGCCAAACTGAACCCAGAGCACTTCTGACTCAGATTAGCACATCATCTGTCAAAACCTTCAAGCTCTTCTATTCCCTTCGAGCTTGGCTGCAATTTTCACAGTAGGTGGAGACTATGTGGCACCTCCCAGCAATTATGAATCATTGCGAGTTATTCTTCGTTTTGTGCAGTGTATTTCCATCTTCAGTGGGCCACTAAAGCCTATTAAGTTTACAAAAGACCCACTCCTGGAACTTGTTTATTGATACCGATTGACAGGGTAGCTCTTATGTGGAACTTTCCATGGAGCCTTAGAGCAACCCATGATAAATGCCCACACTTCAAAACACACCCCTGTGCCACTAGGTAGTACGGTTAAAGCCTTGTGGAGCTGATGGGTCCCTCAGATGCTCAGTCTGTGGAGCCCTGTTGCCAGCTACTCTGAGCTCCCTACAAGAGGAACAAAATAGAAGCGTACTAAATAAATAACACGCCTACCGTGCAGTGGAAAAAGCAATACACAAGCTGGTTTCACGATCGGCACCTCGCATGTCCATTGCTCAAATGCAAAATTGGCATTGAATGAATGGAACACACTGTGGATGGAATGGATAAATTGATCCCATCCCAGAATAACACCATTTCCTGGTGCCCTGTTTCTGATTAACATACATTCTGAATGTGGCTTGCGATAAAGCGCCACAGCGACAAACCAGCT